CTGGAGGCAGAGGCAGGCGGATCTCTGTGAGTTGGAGGCCTGCCTGGTCTACAAGAGCTAGTTCCAGGACAGGTTCTAAAGCTGCAGAGAAACCCTGTCTTGAAAAACCAAAAGGCTAGGTATGGTGGTTCAAAACCTGTCATCCTGCACTTGAGAGGCTGAGGTAGGAAGACTGGGAATTCAAGGCCAATTTGGGCAATCCCTCTCCGCAAAAGTCCCTAAAGATCACCAGCTCCTTCCAGACAGAATCCCAGCCTCTCTGGATTTACTGTGAACATAAGAGGGTAGAATCCAGAACCCTCCCTTACCAGGAGCTTTCCAGAGTTGACGTGGTCAACCAACTTACTCATTCCTTAAAGTGTTTATTCAACAGAGAAGGAACTGGATGAACACAGTGCGGGGGGGGGGGGGGGGATGATCTGTCTCCCCTCTACTGGCTGAAAACCAAGTTTGTCACTGATCCAGCATTAAGGGCCGAGACGCCCTCACCCTTTGCTCATGAGCTCAATTCTTAAAGCCCAGGATGCTTACTTTTACTTTTTGGTCATTGAAACTGTAGCTCTACAGCCCAGGTTGGTCTCAACTCAGGATCTTCCTTCCTGTCTCAGCATATCTGCTGAAACTGCACGTGAGGCCACTCCAAGATCCCCACCTCTGACTTTAAAGACAACTCCATCAGGAAACAAGGTTCTTTACAATGACGATTAAAATGAAGCGAGATCCCCAACATGAACTTTCATCTGTGTGGTTAGTGTCCTCCTAGTTAAGACATAGAGACAAAGCCGGGCGGTGGTGGCGCACGCCTTTAATCCCAGCACTCGGGAGGCAGAGGCAGGCGGATCTCTGTGAGTTCGAGGCCAGCCTGGTCTACAAGAGCTAGTTCCAGGACAGGAACCAAAAGCTACGGAGAAACCCTGTCTCAAAAAAAAAAAAAAAAAAAAAAAAAAGACATAGAGACAAGCTCAAAGAAAGATGACAGGAGACAAAGGGGGACGATGGGGCCACCCATGAGCCTGGGGTAGATTACCATGAACCCCAGAGGAGGCGGCCATGCCTGTATGTGGTCTTGGACTCTTGGCCTTCAGAACCTCATGACGGCCTGTGGGTTGTCCATCTAGTCTGTGGCAGACGCAAGACTGCCAGAATTGTCTCTAGCTTGACTCCACCTCACACGTCCACACTTGTGCGTATGACACCCTGCAGAGCCGGGATCTACATGAGTCAACTCTGCCAGCTTATTCATCACTGCACAGTCCTCCAGGCTGAACCCCTGAATCACTTCTCAGGGATCCCTGACTAGGAAATGAGCAGATCCCGAGCTCATCGGCTGCATTTTTCCAACGTGCCTAATAGTGGAGGCTTTTCCCAGCCAAAGTGGATAGCAGTACAGAGACAAGGCCCTTTGTTCTGTCCCTCCGGGAACCACGAGGGCAGAAGAGAAGGGCCTGTCTTGCTCTGTCTGAATGGTGGGCCGGGCAGGGGCTGCCTGGCACAGCTGGGTTGGGGACCTCAAAGACACAAAGGCCTGGCAGGTGGGACATGGGGAGGGGTGCACATCTGAGAGAGGGTCATTAGCTGGAGGAGCTCCAGAGTAGACGACCTTCCCCCACTGAAGTAAGCAGTTATGTCACGGTCATTGGTGAGAGGAGTCAAAAGGAACAGGCAGAAAGAGAGGGGACAGCAAGGAACAAAGACACAAACCCCAAAAGAACTTCAACAGTGTGGGAAAGGATGAGGACCTTGGGGACCTGGGCCATGGAGGAGATAATGCCGTTTATCAGAGGCATGGTGATCAGACAACCTTTGATACTGGAGTCTGGTATAGCTAATCTTGCAAGAAAAGTGACAGTTTGTTCCCAGATGGGGACAGAGACTCCAGAAACTCAGGTCAGTGGTGATACAATGGCAAGAGAGACAATGGCCCTGCTGTGCCTGTCAGGCTGCCTCATGGGGCCCACCTGCCTTGGTTCCTCCAGGGTATCCCTCCTCCCACCCAGCAGCTAGCAGAATTAGCATCCAAGGTCTCCCCACCTCTCCCCCAACTCCTGCAAATGCCCGGGAGAAGCACTGAGGCCAGGAGGGGCTGTAGCCATAATTTCACACACAGCATCTATTCTCACCTTGGGTGCATTCCATGTGGCTCACTCCACATGACACAACCTGTCATCATCTCTGGTCACCACCCTCATGATAATGTGAGCCAAGGATGCTACAGCATCACAGGGTAGACAAGGTGGCCCTGCAGCCAAAGAATGACCCCACACCAAATATCACAACAGTTTGACAGCCACATCTGAATTAAGGGCTATTGTAGAGGGTTGAGGATCAAGGACTTGTTGGCTTTTTGTTCTCTTGTGGTGCTGGAGATGCCTGGGCCTTGAATGTGCCGAGAGCTGGAACATGAACCTAGCCGGTCAGCCATGTTCCCTGGTTCTACAGAGTCTAGGGATCTAGCTCCAAAGCTAGCACTACTTTGAGAGGACAAAGACCCTCTCTTGGTGGCTGAATGGAATAGACAGCTGAGACAAACAAAAGCAGAGACCCCATTGCGACTGGGTCTCTGCTCCAGTCATTGTGGTTCATCACTCACATGACTTCCCAGGTGTGGCTGGGATCAGCCACCTCTTCAGAGGATATATAATGAACTTCCCTCATCGTAAACCTCGATCTCCAGTTCTGCCCCTTTGATAACCCATGCCGCCTATCACTCTGCGCAGCTGCCCGATGGGAATATCATTTTTTCTATGGAAAGGGACAGTAGTTGTCCCTGAGGCACAAGAAGGTCTCAGCTCTGCTCTCAGGAGGCAGCCAAGCACTTGGCACAACCGGCTCTTGCTCTGGCAGACTTTGGACCCATCCAGCACATGCCACTCCAGAGATGAGGGAAGAGAAGCCACTATTTCATGGTCTTGTCAGGAAGGGTGTCAAGCCAGGAGTCCAACTGACCCACACGGTCACCAGCTGGACTTGAGAGAGGGTTTTACCCAACCAGGAGGTCAAAGCCACAGCTTTGTGCTTTGTGCAAGAAGCACACTGGATACCTGGCTAGGGATATGGCTCCATGGTGGAACACTTACCCAGCATGTATGTGTAAGGCTCTAAGTTCCATGCCCAGGATTGCAATGCAGGAGACAGAGGAAAGTCGGGGCTGCATAAAACCAAAGGGTATGTACCAGAAACACGAAAGTTAGTAAGTGGGGTCAGCTCTTGAAAAAAGCTGACACAGACCAATCCGGTTACTTTGCAGAGGAGGACACCAGACACAGGGCACTTCTTCCAGGAGACCCCCACGCAGTCACATGCTCTGGGTGCACAGTGGAAACCACATGGCCTTGGCATAGGAAGATTCAGGTCCTCCCTGGGGTCTCCAGACCCAAGCAGTCTTTGACATTGCAAGAGGCATGACTGAGCAGTGTGCCCTAGGGCAGGCTAAGATGAGAGCTTTCTTACAGAACATTCCAGAAGTGAATAGGGCAGTCACGTCTCTGAGACTTTTTTTATATTCAGATTTTGTACCAAATGGAACTCTAAACCTGGTTTTCTTCTGCAAGCACACAGCAGATAGGGAATCCTAGCATTGGGGGAGGGGAAAGAAGAAAGTCATGCCATCCAAAACTAGGCAGTTCCAGGCCCTTGTAGGAGCAGATGGGCCTTTGACAACTTTTCAGTTGTCCATGTCACCTCCGGTCATTCCTGGACATCTTAAGGTTCTGGAGTCTAAGACCAGACAATACTCAGGGAAGGAAGGAGCTGTAACATGAGGGGCTGCATCCGAACCAAAGAGGCAGATAGGCCTCCCCTCAGAAGCCCTGGAGCTAGAAGACCCCAGAAAAAGAACGGAGAGCTTGCTGGCAGCTGTGCTTCCCTGGTGCTGAGCTCACAACCACTGCCGGGGGACACATTTCCTGTATGTCGGGTTTTACCCATTTAAGTCCAAGGATGCAACTCTCTTGAGAGGGTGGCTTCCACCCTACCCGGCTCCCTTCCTTCTGATGCGCTGGCCAGCCGGCCGGCCATTTGGAGCGTTAGCACTTCTCCCTAGCTCCCCTAGAACCCGGCTAGTTCTTTCTGGAGCGGAAAGTGATGCGCGTTCCAAGGCAGAGACAGACAGACCCAGAGGGCGCTGGTATTCGCCCCTGCGGATCACCCAGCTGTCGGGGTGTGAAGTCAGGAAGAAGATGAATCAAGAAGGGGAAGGCGGGGGCGAGCCTCCAGAGGCTGCACCCCGTCATCTCCCGGGCCGCTGGAGCCCTTTCCTCCTCCTCCCCCCACCTCAGGCTTTCTGAGGAGCTGTTCTTGCATGGCTTTCGAGGCCCATCTTTTGCACGCTCCACTCCCAATAGCGGGCTGCCAAGGACCTTGTCCAGTTCTCTGAGCGCCGCCTGGCACACCTCGGCGACACCGAGAGCTAGGACCGCGCTTTAGACGCCTCTTTCCCCAGCTCGGGCCTTCAGCTCCGCCTTCCTGGCCTCCTCGATTTCCTGAGACCCTTCCCACTCAGTGGCCACCTCAGCCACGTCCTCTCCATAGCCGCCGCTCAAAGGCGCCACCGCCATCGAGCTGCGTAAGTCCGAAAGCCTCGCCCCCATCAGTCACCCCGCGACCCCCAGGCCGCGTCCCACCCTCGCGCCCCGGGACACCAGCACCAACCCCGGCTCGGGTCTCCGGTCAGGAGAACCGCTGCGAGAACTCACCTGAACCTCGGCCGCCGCGCGCCGCCGGTCCCCGGCCGGCTCCCCGCCCGGACGCCCGCCAGCCCGCCCGCTGCTCCAGGCCGCCCCGCCCCAGCGCGCCTCGCCTCGCCCGCGGTTCCCCCCACCCCCCCGCGCGCTCCCACTTCCGGGTTCCGGAGGGGTCGGAGGGGAGGGCTGCAGCGCGCCAGGGAGGAGGGGCGCTCCGGGTCACGCCCACTAGGGCCACGCCCCTGCTGTTCGTGCGGCCCTGTTTTCAAGCTCCGGTGAGCTGCGAGTGGCGGGCAGCTACAGAGCCCTGCCCCCTCCGAGCGCGCTCCCAAAAAAGCCGGCTCCTCGGCGTCGCTCGCTGGCACGCCCCGGCGCTCCGCGGTCCTGCCTGCCTCCTAGCGGGCGGAGTCCCTAGAAGCGGCTCTTCGAGTGGAAGGCGGGAAAATGGCGGACTCCTCGGAGCGGGGCGCGGGGTGAGTTGGGGGCGCAGTAGGGCAGGATTTAGGGGCACCGGAGGGCTGGCCAGAGCCTGGGCTGACGGGTGCCCGAGCGGGAGAACGGGGCTCCTTAGAGCCACTCCCCGAATCCCTCCCAGCCTGGAGGCCCAGGCTCTGAGCATCTCCTCTGTGGCTCAGAGTGGACTTGTGCGTGGTACTTTGGTGTTGGCAGCAGGTAACTTACCCTCACGGTTCCTAGCTTTTGCATCTAGGGGCGCGCTCAACCTCCTGAGTTGTGTGTGCTACTTGTTCTGTTTTGGTTCCAAGACAGGGTCTCTTGTAACCCAGGCTCGCTTTGAACTCTCCAGTTCCTGCCACTCTTCCTGCGGGGATGACTAGGGTGCCCCCCCAGCAGCAGCTGGACCAGTCTGCTGCACCACAGCACTGCGGGGATTCATTCTTGTTAGTGAGCTTGGGAAGTATTGGAGCCTCGATCGGTATTTTTCTTAGAATTTCAGGTTTACTTCTTTCCTGAAAGGAGTTTTGTAGCAATGATAAGGGAAGAGTCGGGGAGTTACAAAATAATCGCTTGAGAGTAAAGGTCTGGAAATTGATAAAAATCTACACCTGGGCGGGTTGATGCTAGTGGCAACCACAGGTGACGGGTCAAGAACTCTCCCACCCCACCCGAGCTTCACTAGAAGCCTGCCAGTCAGCACAGGCAGGAGGTGGTGGTGGAAGAATCCCGAGTTCAAGGACAGCCTGAGTTACCAACTTGAGGACGTGTCTCAAATGAACCAGTTTTTGTTTTTGTTTGTTTTGTTTTGTTTTGTTTGTGTTTGGTTTTTTTTTTTTTTTCGAGACAGGGTTTCTATGTAGTTTTGGAGCCTGTCCTGGAACTAGCTCTTGTAGACCAGGCTGGCATCGAACTCACTGTGATCCACCTGCCTCTGCCTCCCTAGTGCTAGGATTAAATGCGTGCGCCGCCACCACCACCTGGCCAGTTTTCGTTTTTGTTAGTAATATTTCTTAGACGAGCCTCTCTGCCAACACAAATAATTTCAATCAGACCAAATTAGACTGAATAAAAGATGCCCATGTTTGATGCAGCGCTCCTGAGTGGCACCAGAAAAGCATGGTGAGGGGAAGAGAGAGAAGGGGAGACCACGTGTTCATATTTTGAGTGGCAGCCTAAAAACCCTGTGGGAGTGGTCCTGCCCCTCCCTGGGGAGGCTTGGTGGGCTTTCCCAGGGGAGGGGGCTTGAAATGGATGCCAGGGGCTGGGATGAGGCTTTCACCCAAACATCCCAGACTCTTGGATATAGGGACCCTACTCAGGTCTGGCTACTTCCTGCGAGCATGGAGTGACATTGGCAAGGGGGGAGTTGGTGGGCTCATGAGAGGCCTGGCTGGAGCAGCTTCCCGTTTACTGTCATCCTGGAGACCTCAGGCAGCTGTTGGTTGAGGGAGATGAGAAGGCAGGTGGCATTTGTTATCATTGGCCCTATGAATGGGGCTAGCCATGGGAAGTCATTAACTGCCAGAAAGAATGGGACAGAGAAGTGCCCTAGTTGTACAGGTGAGGCTCGGGTGTACAAGTGGGACACACTAGCAGATAAAACCAGATTTTAGTTGTTAGGTGTCCTTGATCCAGGAGAGTTGGTACCAGTGGTGAAGTCCCAGGAGCTGGTGCAGGTGTTGGCCTTGTCTGGAGAGCGCTTTGTAAGTTGGTCTTGGCCCAGATGGCCAGAGTGACCTGTAAAATATGTGTGAAAATGGGTGGCATTAAAACAGGCTCTGGAGTGCTGGAGAGATGGCTCAGAGGTTAAGAGCACTGACTGCTCCTCCAGAGGTCCTGATTTCAATTCCCAGCAACCACATGGTGGCTCACGGACATCTATAATGAGACCTGATGCCCTCTTCTGGCCTGCTGGCATACATGGAAGGAATGTTGTATACAAAATAAATAAATCTAAATATTAAAAAAAAAACAGGCTCTGGAAGACTGTTAGTTGTTTTTTTGTTTTTTTTTTAATTATTATTACCAGATTACCAGACCTGATTTTTTTTTTTTTTTTTTGATTTTTCGAGACAGGGTTTCTCCGTAGCTTTTTTGGTTCCTGTCCTGGAACTACCTCTTGTAGACCAGGCTGGCCTCGAACTCACAGAGATCCGCCTGCCTCTGCCTCCCGAGTGCTGGGATTAAAGGCGTGCGCCACCACCGCCCGGCCAGACCTGATTTTTTTTTATTGGAAAAAAAAAATTTCCGCCTCCTCCCAGCCTCCCATTTCCCTCCCCCTCCTCCCACTCCTCTCCCCTTCCCCCCACTCCTCTCCCCCTCCCTCTCCAGTCCAAAGAGCAGTCAGGGTTCCCTGCCCTGTGGAAAGTCCAAAGTCGTCCCCCCTCCATCCTGGTCTAGGAAGGTGAACATCCAAACTGGCTAGGCTCCCACAAAGCCAAAACATGAAGTTGGATCAAAACCCAGTGCCATTGTCCTTGGCTTCTCAGCACCCCTCATTGTCCGCCATATTCAGAGCGTCCGGTTTTATCCCATGCTTTTTCAGTCACAGTCCAGCTGGCCTTGGTGAGCTCCAATAGATCAGCCCCACTGTCTCCGTGGGTGGGTGCACCCCTTGTGGTCCTGACTTCTTTGCTCATGTTCTCCCTCCTTCTGCTCCTCATTGGGACATTGGGAGCTCAGTCCGGTGCTCCAGTGTGGGTCTCTGTCTCTGTCTCCATCCATCGCCAGATGAAGGTTCTATGGTGATATGCAAGATATTCATCAGGATGGCTATAGGATAGGGTCATTTCAGGTTCCCTATCCTCAGCTGCCCCAGGAACTAACTGGGGACATCGCCCTGGGCACCTGGGAGCCCCTCTAGGTCCAAGTCTCTTGCCAACCCTAAGATGGCTCCCTTAATTAAGATATGTGCTTCCCTGCTCCCCTATCCAACCTTCCTTTATCCCAATCTTCCTTTTTCCCCAAGTTCCCCCCATCCTCCCCTTCTCACTTTTCTCTCCCCATCTCGCCTTACCCCCCTCCCATCCCACCCCCAAGATCCCAATTTTTTGCCCGGCAATCTTGTCTACTTCCCATAACCAGGAGGATAGCTGTATGGATTTCTTTGGGTTCACCTTCTTATTTAGCTTCTTTAGGATATCAAATTATAGACTCAATGACCTTTATTTATGGCTAGAAACCAATTATGAGTGAGTACATCAAATGTTCATATTTTTGGGTCTGGGTTACCTCACTCAGGATAGTGTTTTCTATTTCCATCCATTTGCATGCAAAATTCAAGAAGTCATTGTTTTTTACCGCTGAGTAGTACTCTAATGTGTATATATTCCACACTTTCTTCATCCATTCTTCCATTGAAGGACATCTAGGTTGTTTCCAGGTTCTGGCTATTACAAATAATGCTGCTATGAACATAGTTGAACAAATGCCCTTGTCATATGATCGGGCATCTCTTTTTTTTTTTTAATTTTTTTTTTTTTTTTTTTGGTTTTTTGAGACAGGGTTTCTCTGTGGCTTTCGAGCCTGTCCTGGAACTAGCTCTGTAGACCAGGCTGGTCTCGAACTCACAGAGATCCGCCTGCCTCTGCCTCGCGAGTGCTGGGATTAAAGGCGTGCGCCACCATCACCCGGCTTCCGGCATCTCTTGGGTATATTCCCAAGAGTGGCATTGCTGGATCCAGGGGTAGGTTGATCCCGAATTTCCTGAGAAACCGCCACACTGCTTTCCAAAGTGGTTGCACAAGTTTGCATTCCCACCAGCAATGGATGAGGGTATCCCTTCCTCCACAACCTCTCCAGCAAAGGCTATCATTTGTGTTTTTGATTTTAGCCATTCTGACAGGTGTAAGATGATATCTCAAAGTTGTTTTGATTTGCATTTCCCTGATCGCTAAGGAGGCTGAGCATGACCTTAAGTGTCTTTTGGCCATTTGAACTTCTTCTGTTGAGAATTCTCTGTTCAGAGCAGTGCCCCATTTTTTAATTGGGTTAATTAGCATTTGAAAGTCTAGTTTCTTGAGTTCTTTATATATTTTGGAGATCAGACCTTTGTCTGTTGCGGGGTTGGTGAAGATCTTCTCCCAGTCAGTGGGTTCCCTTTTTGTCTTAGTGACAGTGTCCTTTGCTTTACAGAAGCTTCTCAGTTTCAGTAGGTCCCATTTATTCAAGGTTGCCCTTAATGTCTGTGCCCATATGTTGTAGGGTACTTTCCACTTTCTCTTCTATCAGGTTTAGTGTGTTCAGATTGATATTGAGGTCTTTGATCCATTTGGACTTGAGTTTTGTGCTTGGTGATAGATATGGGTCTATTTTCATTCTTCTACATGTTGACATCCAGTTGTGCCAGAACCATTTGTTGAAGATGCTTTCTTTCTTCCATTGTATACTTTTAGCTCCTTTATCGAAAATGAGGTGTTCATAGGTTTGTGGGTTAAAATCCGGGTCTTCTATACGATTCCATTGGTCGACTTCTCTGTTTTTATGCCAGTACCACACTGTTTTCATTACTGTAGCTCTGTAATAGAGTTTGAAGTCAGGGATGGTAATGCCTCCAGAAGTTCCTTTATTGTATAAGATTGTTTTGGCTATCCTGGGTATTTTGTTTTTTTCATATAAAGTTGATTATTGTCCTCTCAAGATCTGTGAAGAATTTTGATGGGACCTTGATGGGGAGTGCATTTAATCTATAAATTGCCTTTGGTAGAATTGCCATTTTTACTATGTTGATCCTCCCAATCCAAGAGCATGGGAGATCCTTCCATTTTCTGGTATCCTCTTCAATTTCTTTCTTCAATACCTTAAAGTTCTTGTCAAATAGATCTTTCATTTCCTTGGTTAGAGTTACCCCAAGATATTTTATGCTGTTTGTGGCTATCGTGAAAGGTGATGCTTCTCTGATTTCCCTCTCTGCTTCCATATCCTTTGTGTATAAGAGGGCGACTGATTTTTTGGAGTTGATCTTGTATCCTGCCACATTACTAAAGGTGTTTATCAGCTGTAGGAGTTCTTTGGTGGA